AGCAGCATGCCATGCCAACTTATGGTGGGATTCTTTGCGTATGCAAAATCACTGGATATTAATGTGGATAAGGAGGAATTAGAAGGTAACTTGAAGATCTTTAATTATGTTGATTTTTGATCGACTCCCTTTGACTTATAACACTTGAATTCCACCTTTATATTTTGATTATGGGCATTTTCTTTCTTTCTGTGACGGTGAATAAACTTGTGATCTAGATGCGAAATGGCACAGCAGAGAAGATGTGAAAAAGGCACTCACAATCGCGGAATACAAGAAGGCACAGAGGACTGCTGCTGGTAAAGTGGACCAAATGTGCAAGGGTGTAGAAAGAGGACAGAGCTTGTCTTCCGATTTCAATGTGGAAAGTGGGGAACTTGCTCCTATGTTTATCCCGGGGCCCTTTGCAATTGCTAATCATCTCATTTCCTCTTGGGTGAATGGGGTTGAATCACAACTTGCAAGTTCTTTCTCAAATTTATAGGTTGGTGCTCACTAATGAAGTTTTTTTTTTGCGGCATGTCATTTAATCTTGTGTGTATCATCTTTCTATTACCAAATCTCTTGTTTGAAATCGATTTGCTGGAATTGTTGCAACGTTAATACTGTAGTAAGCTCCTCTAATCTGTTAATGTGCTCAAATTATTAAGTTCCTGTTCCACGTAGTTTTTCTACTTAGGAGGTAAGGTTAACATGAAGGATGTCTTTCTGTGTGACAGGACTTTAGTAATTGACATCAACAATGTTGTTCTCAAAGCATCTTAGGTAAGTAAGATCTTCCATATAATCAAATCTTCATTGTATTGTCGTATCTTCCTTTTCAAATGATTGATGCAACAAATAGTAGTCTAATGTTGATCTCAATTTTCTTTGCTCTTCTTGGATTATTTTGGTTCTGACTATATGTAAGCATAAATCAAAGAAAGAGGACAATGTCAAATAGTGAAGGTTTCTACATAAAATGACCTTAGTCTACTCGTGAAGAAACGAATATGCTTTGTTATTCTAAAACTTGTGGCTTTCTGTTTTTGCTTGGTTAATTGTCTGTTTGGTGAAAGAGGTGGCTGGGAGATTCAATTAGAATGTCAATCGTCAATATGCTCATATTGGTGACGTTATTGTTGCTGTGATCAAAGAAGCAGTACCAAATAGATCAGAAGTAGTTAGAGCTGTTTACAGTAGAATTTTGTATCTTTGATCGAAATATGTTATAATCCTCAACTTAGAGAAACGTTAGTTTACCTGTGAAAACAGAGGATTGATTCTACATTCATTTCCATGTCGTTGAATGCAACATGTATTTTTTTCTTTTCTAGGCCACTACCCGAACAATTAATCTTGCAGGGGAGTTGAACCTCCATATGTGCTGCAACAATACCATTGATTCAGTAGATGAATGCTGCTGGCAAGTGTGAAAATGGACGTGCATGTATACATACATAGCAGACGTGCTAGTATAAATTTTAAGCAATTGCACTTCGTACTACTTAATTTGTAATTTGAATTTTGTGTTATAGAGATATTAACGCCACATAGCTCATATTTTGAGTTTGTTGCCCAATTTAGCTTTTATTTGTGTATAAACACCTTGCGTATACATTTCTATATAAGAACGATATATTATGTATCTTGTTTTTTTTCCAGTTAAATGGCGTAATAACTAATCCTAGTTCTGAATATGATTATTAATTAACATCCTGTACTAAGTAGAGTATAATATATAGTACACATGCTATAACAAAACAAATATAAAGAATCAATTCATTTCTATTTGTTCTCGTTTGTATAATCTGATAGGACGTTTGTTTAGTGGCTGAGTTGCTTTCAGATTCCTGTCATTAACAAAAAAAAGTCAAGAAAACAGTGTTACTATCAAACTACCAAATTTATCGGTAATTCAAGTTAATTCGTCACTAAATAGCTTCAAAATCCGTAGCTAAATAAGATTAGCACATAATTTTTGTTGTTGAGCTAAACAAAAATTTCATCGCCAATTTCTTATTTTCTAGCCGTGTTTTAATTAAAGAGCCATCCTTTTCGAATCTCACAAATTCATTATTAAATACTCGTTTTTGAATCCAAATATACAAAGAAACATACACTATAAGTAAATGAAATATAATTAGGTAAGAAAATTATTCCTAATTACTAAAATTTTAATTTGGGGTAGCAACTCGCATCATGAACAACATCTCTGATAAGTTTCATTTGTCTTTTGGTCACAGTTTTCACCTGGGAAATTAAAAAAAAATCACTTAATTAAAATTACTTTCAAAATGGGAAATACTTAAATTTAATTTTCATAATATTGAGTGGGAATTTTTTTTCCATTAATTACCTTTCTATCCATAGTCCAGACAACACCTTCAGTGCAAGGTGGTACTGTTAGGGAGCCAATATACCTATAATATATTTTGCCATCTATTTTTATTTGCTTTGGACTAATTCTTCCAATGGCTCTCTCCACACGTTTTGTATTAGCAAGTGCTTTTAAATCCTTCTCTATCTGCTATTTATATTAAATTAAATTACACTGAAAATATCAAAAATTAAATTTTATTTTAATACTGTCAGTGAATATAATTTAAGCCGGTATTTTACCATAGATAAGAAGGAATCGGGCCGTCCAATCTTGTAGATGATTCCAATAACAGCAGTCTTTCCATCATTGCTTTCATGTACCAAATGTGCCTCCAAATTAAACCTGCATTTAATTTGTTGATATAAATGCATAAAAAAATTATGCAAAAAATAAAGAAAAAAAATAGATTGGCTCAGCTATAATATAATCTATTATTGTCACTTATCAATTTATAATAAATAATACAACGATGTTTAACATGGAAAATAGAGTTAAAGGCCAGGGGAGAAAAATAAAGGAAATCTTTTGGCACATATTAGAAATATCGTTAGAACTTATCGTCGTTTGAAATAATGATATTTTTAAGGCTATAAAAACAAGATATCATTATTTTGTTTTTGAAACAGATTAAAAGAAAAGAGTAGCGTCATGTAAAAAAAATTCACAAGAGGGTTCAGAATATAAGGAGATAAATATACGAAGAAATTAAAAGTATTCAAATAATTTTATATAAATAGTGTAATTTTTTGACGAGATAGTTTCGTGGCTCCGTGGGGTGTTAATACTAACAGTATTTATGTATGCCATAGATTATATACCTTTTTCCATTGATTGTGTGTTCAGAAGGTGTATGCCAATGACATTGTTTAAGTTAATACTGAGTTCCATTTATCAGAAGGTAATGTGAAGCTGACCAAAAAGAAGTTGCTTTTGACTAAACTTGTAGTCATGAGAATTTTCTAAAATTTTATTCAGGTGGCTAATTGAAGCCTCCTACTATGTACTTTCTGGATATTAATTAATTGTATATACTATATAATAAAAAGACCGTCCGAGGACTCCCTTTTGAATTTCTTCTCTGGAGTATTTGTTGGTTGAGATTAAAAAGACAGTTCGGTGTATTAATTTTTTTTTGATGTGTAAGGTTTAGAGAACAATCTCATAAGAATCTATTGTACGCAGTCTTATTCTACATTTTTACAAGAGACTATTTTCATCTCTTGAATTTGTGACCTGATTGAGATTCAATATTGCATAAAATAATTAAGATAAAAATACTTAACTGTGCTGTCTAGGTCAATTTGCATGCACTTCGACTAATTGCACATGATGCCTGTCATCATCCACTAACAATATGTAACAGATAAATCTGTCCATCAAGACTAGAACCGAAGGCGAAACCTAAACTTTAACTTTATTGATTCTAAATTTTATAACACCGATTTCAAATATTAATAACTAGGTTCTAAACTTAATATTTATATATATTTAATTATAAACTAATTATTAATACAACTATACTATTTAAACAAAGACTACTAGGTTTAATTTGGCCGAATCCATACTCAAACTTTTACCCTGGCTCTTACTATTTTTTTTTCTTACAACTATATATGTCATTAGGTGCGTCTATGATTCTGAAGTTAAACAAAATAGCATGGTCCGCTTATAAAATGTTTTCTTTTTGTTGTAAGGATAATTTTTGGAAAAGAAGAAAAAAACAGTAGAAGAAGACATATTGGCGTGGTACGTTGAAACTTCAGTTTTTTTTAAAAGAAACGTTTCCTTTATTTAGCTTCTAATTATATATAGTAAGTAATTTTTGAGAAATATAAAATTCTTGTTTTTCTGTCCAAGAAAGAAAATATGATGTTCAACTTGAACAGCTAAATTAGTCATCAGGCTCAACAATTTATTGCTTAATTAATCAGTACGTAATTCATAAGGATTACCTTAATCTGGAAGCCAAAGCTGCTAATTATATTCAAGAAATTACAGCTTACTTTTCAACAATTCCATAGTTCTTTAACTTTAATTTTTCCAATTTTCAAGTTAATTTCATGATGTTAAATTTTTAATTGTTTGTTACATATATTCATTGAAATATGAATTTTAGGTAGCGTAACAAACTGTATTAAAATATGATTAGTCCATTCATTCATATTTTTTCTTTAACTTTGCTCATTTTGGCTCAAGTCATTGTTGATATATAATTTAAATTGGCCAATGAAAAAACATATCAATTAATTGGACATTTTTACAAGGCGGCTTAATTAATTAAGAAAAAACATCTGAATTTTCTAATTGAATTTTTTTCTCAGACATTTATTATTTGTGATCTAATTAGATAATATTTGCTTCGAATAAAAAGTTGCTAAGAGTAAAAACAAATAAATAAAAAACTTATTGTATAGAAAATCCTTCAAGAATTTATAGAGAAATATCCTATATTACTTCTTAATTCTTACTGCTAACTCATACAGTATAGATTAGGGACGTAATCCACGTGCCTAGACATGTAATGCAGTATTATTTTCCTCGTCGATCGTATGTTGGAACAATTGCAACACAAATTCAAGGCTACTAATACTTTTTCTACTTTTTACTATCGTAGCGAACCGTCGTCTACAAGTTTAAGTTATGGTTTGTTAAATTTGATAGAACGTCCGTTTAATGGCTGAATTGGTCTGGCATTGGATTCAAATCCCTGAGATAAACATGAGAAGAAAAATCAAGAAGTAGTTTATATAATTCCTTTCGTCCAAAATAAGTAAATTTTGGATGTATGACACACTTTTTAAAAAAATGAACAAATTACAAATTAATTGATAACCTCTTGGATAAAAAATAATTTATTTTAAACAAAGAAAAAAAATGCTAAAAGTTCATTTATTTTGAATTGAAAGGAGTTAATTATAATTAGGTTCTTCAGTTTTTATTTATTTATTTAATTGAAGAATCACCATTTTTTAGTCACACAAATTTTAATAGTAAAAGCTAAATAGAGTTTTTTTTTGGGAGGGGGTTGATTTGAATGATCTTTTATGAAAATTTCAATAGCTACTTGGACATAAATTGAATGATATGTGATTAAAAAAATAGTATTTTGAAGCTTAATTGAAAAATAGTATTGAATAAATTAAAATGATATGTTTGAACATGTATTACACTTGAAAAAATATATAACCAAATAGATTTTTTAAGAAGAAGAAACGAGAGTTTAAAAAGGCAAATAAATCATCTTGGGGTAGCAACTCACATTAACTGCAGCATCTTGGAGCAGTTTTATTTGACTTGCCGTTACACTGTTAACCTATGAAATTGAAAAAGAGAAAAAAATCACATAATTAAAATTAATATTAAAATGGGAATACTTAATTACTTTTAATTTTCATCATAATAATGAATTTAGGAAAATTTAATTACCTTTCCATCAATAGTCCAAACAACACCTTCAGCGCAAGGTGGAGTAGTAAGGGAGCCAATAAATCTGTAATATATATTGTCATCCAAGTTTATTATATTTGGATCAATTATTCCCATGCCTTTTTCTGCACCTTTTTTTTTTATCAGCAAGAGCTATTAAATCACCCTCTAGCTGTAATTAGATAAGCAAACAATATATATGTATGCCATAGAATATATACCGTTTTCCATTGATTGTGTGTTCAGAAGGTGTATGCCAATGACATTGTTTAAGTTGATACTGAGTTCCATTTATCAGAAGGTAATGTGAAGCTGACCAAAAAGAAGTTGCTTTTGACTAAACTTGTAGTCATGACAATTTTCTAAAATTTTATTCAGGTGGATAATTGAAGCCTCCTATACTATGTACTTTCTGGATATTAATTAATTGTATATGCTGTATAATAAAAAGACCGTCCGAGGACTCCTTTTTGGATTTCTTAATTCTCTGGAGTATGTGTTGGTTGAAATTAAAAGGACAGTTTGGTGCATTAAAACTTTCGTTATATGTTGGATTCAGAATAAAATTGAATTATAAGTGTTTATTTTACATTTTTACAAAAGACTATTTCTACGAATTAAACCCATTACCTTTTGATTGAGATTCCATGCATTGAATAATTAAAGACTACCACGATAGTTTCTTTATTGAAACTAAAATTCTATTTTCATTTCTCATGTCACATGCATGCCAATCTTTTTTGATATAGTTGTGATATTCAGGTCAGGTTGCATTTATCTAAATTAATTTCATAAGATACTTTCCACCACACACTAAAAACATTGTACTTCTTCCGTCCCAAAATAGTTGTTCACTATACTATTTTGAGATGTCCAATAATATTTGTCCACTTTATGATATCAATGGATAATTTTATATTTAGTTCCTAATACTTTTCCTATTATATTCAAAGGGTGATATAGTAAAATCACCATTCTATTTATAGTTTCTTAAGGGGTGTGTCAAGTCAATAATGGACAAGTATTGTTGGAAAGAGGGAGTATCAGACAATTCAGTCCATCAAAATTAAAACATACATTAAGAATTACATTTTTGATCTATGCTAGGTGATCTCTTAGCTACCAATATAGACTATAAATAATTAGACCTGTACAAATACTCTAGAGAGTTAAAAGATATATTATTTTCACAAATTACAATTATGTGCGTCTATGATTCTGAAATGTGAACAAGTTACACAAAATAGCATGGTCCGCCTTTATTTTTTTTATATTTTTTTTGTCAGGACAGTTTTTGGGGTAAAGGAAGAAAAAATAGTAGAAGAAGACATATTGGTGTAGAAAATCCTTCAAGAATTTATAAAGAAATATCTTATATTACTTCTTAATTCTTATTGCTAAATAGAGAACTCATACAGTATAAATTAGGTACGTAACTACACATGTAATGCTGTATTATTTTCCTCGTCGATCGTATGTAGGAACAGTTGCAACACAAAATCAAGGCTATTAATACGTGATCGTAGCGAACCATCGTCTAGTTTAAAGTTAACGTAGCCAATCAATGAAATTACTAAGGTTTGTTAAATTTGATAGAACGTCCGTTTAATGACTGAATTGGTCTGGCATTGGATTCAAATCCCTGAGATAAACATGAGAAGAAAAATCAAGAAGTAGTTTATATAATTCCTTTCGTCCACAATAAGTAAATTTTTGAGGTATGACACACTTTTTAAGAAGGGAAAATATATGCTAAAAGTTTACTTATTTTGAATTGAAAGGAGTTAAATATAAGTAGATTCTACAATTTTTTAAAAATTGAAGAACCGCCTTTTTCTAGTCACACAAATTTTAATATATAGTAAAAAGAAAATTATTTTAATAGGCGCTTGGACATCAATTGAATGATGTATGTGATAAAAATAATAGCATTTTGAAGGTAAATTGAAAATTAGTATCGGAAAAATTAATTTAGGCATGCATTACGCTAGACAAAATATATAAACAAAAGTCTTTTTAAAGAAAAAAACAAATAAATAATTTTGGGTAGCAACTCACGTTAACAGCAGCATCTTGGAGCAGTTTTATTTGACTTGCCGTTGCACTGTTAACCTATGAAATTGAAAAAGAGAAAAAAAATCACATAATTAAAATTAATACTAAAATGGGAATACTTAATTACTCTTAATTTTCATCATAATAATGAATTTAGGCAAATTTAATTACCTTTCCATCAATAGTCCAAACAACACCTTCAGTGCAAGGTGGAGTAGTTAGGGAGCCAATATATCTGTAATATATATTGTCATCCGATTTTATTATATTTGGATCATGTATTCCCATGGCTTTTTCTGCACCTTTTTTTATCAGCAAGAGCTATTAAATCACCCTCTAGCTGTAATTAGATAAGCAAACAATATCAAGAAGCTGAAAAAATAATGAGATCGATTGATTAAATTATACTGATAGAGTAAAAAAATAAAATTGTGTTTACTATGGTTAGGAGATCATTAGGCAATAATCCAATTTCATAGAGGATTCCAACGACAGCAATTTTTCCATCACTGCTCATATGTACCAAATGAGCCTCCATATCATACCTGAATTATTTTTGTTCAAAAAAAAAAAAAAACTTGGTTGAGATTATATAGATGAGTGTGTAAATAATGATATTTTTTCTCTTTGTTTACGTTCATTTATTTTTAATATATCTAACAATTTCATTTTCTTTCAATAACTCAATTTTTTTGAATTAGTTATTTCCTTTTATGCTACGTTTAATTGGTTCATATATAGATTAGAAAGTAACTTCTTTTTAATGATTTAATTAACTTTAAGAGGCCTCGCAAATTAACATTATTTACGCCGTCACAGGGTTAAAACTAAAGTACAAGTTACGGATTTAGACAAATTTAGAAATTTTAGTTCAAATTTTATATTTATTTAATAAATTTATTCAACATGTACAAATTATTTTTTCCGTTACAATTTGTTTATGGTCTTAGGTACTATTTGGATAGTCAAAGGATATATTTTCCTTGATTATATTTTTTTCAAATATTTAAAATTGTTAACTATTAGTACGATTTATATTGCTTTTTGTAATTTTGTGTAGTTTCTAAATATGTCAGTTTTATTTCAAAAATTGAAGAATCTATGTCTAAAATCACACATGAACATTAGTTAATTTAACCCTCATACTATGAATCAACTATCAAGTATAACAAATTGAAAAGATTTAGCACCCAATAACTTAAAAATGAGTAGAATCACGAATCTCATAAACTTTAAATCATGACTCTATCTCTGATCGCAATAAATATATATCATATACCTTTTCCCATCGATACTATGTTCGGAAGGTGTGTGCCAATGAATTTGTTGGAGTTGATATTGAGTTTCATCTATCTTCAAGTATCCTGAATCACCATCCCATCTCAACTGCATTTATAAATAAATATATATTATAATCACAACTTAAAATTTTATTTCAATATGAGTGATGATATATTATCCACAATATATATTACTATATACTATAATGATACAATTTTCTTACGTACCATGATATCATGTCCTCTATTCACGAGAGTGGCATTGGATGGTCTGTAGTATTTTTGAAGAATTCCTAAATTTGATACAACTTCAACCATTTTGTTATCAAGGTCAATTGGAGACTGTAAATTTCCATTGCAGTTGCTCGAGATTTTCCCCCAATTAGCTGGTCCGTTCTTCGCGTTTTTGTCATAACTAAACTCATGATCACTCATATCATCTACATTTACTCAGACATAATTAAGAAACTTACAACTATGTACACTGACGGTACAAAAAAAGAAAAGAAATAACACTATTAAATCATCTTATATGAACACGAGCTAAAAAAATTCTAATTAATACATTTAACGTACCAACTTCTTGAGATCTTGAAAGAAATGCACTTGAAAGGAAAAGAAAAGAAAAGAAGAAGATTTTGATTGTTGTTGCCATATTCATATTCATATTATATCATCAACCGTTGAAATATTTTGTGAGTTAATGAGGAAACTCAGTAAATTTATAGAGACTTATATAGGAGGAGTAACGTTATATGAAGCTAACCAAAATTAAGTTGTAATTTTGACTGATTTTCTCTTGAGTTTAATTGCTGATTGAAATTCGAAATTCTATTAAATTGATGATAATAAATTCTCCTTTTATTTCTCACATGAATGTATATTTCCCATTTTTGACATGAGTGATGGTACATTATGGTCGATGGTTATATATTCATGTTGAAATAAACATTGCTAAAACACATCAAGATGACTTTACGATGTAAAACAGTATCGAATATATATATATATAGAGAGATCGTATACTTTTTATATTTGTATATATTTTGCACACAATCACTAGTTTTGAAGTCATTTTCTCCAAAAAATCATTACTTTCTCTGTCTCAATTTATGTGACACCATTTGAATTTCGTGAGTCAAACAATTTAGTATTAATCATGGATTAAGGCATGATCTTTAATTATTATTTTTTAAAATAACACTTATATAGTTGAAAACTACATAAAAATTACTGCAAGTCACAATAATTGATAATTCAAGACATTTAAAACATATTTGGAAATTACGGTCAAAGATAGACTTATTTAAATTTTCGTAATGAAAAAATTGTCACATAAATTAGAACAGAAGAAGTATATTTTACGTGTGTACACTTACATGACTACTCACCAAGTAAGTATGATTTTTTTTTTCGTGTCAAATTTCCAATGTAATAATGGATTAATTAAAGTTCTTACGAAATCTCTCCTTTAATTTGTCAATTTCTCTTTTGCTTATTCTGGATCTTAGCATGTTACGTTATGGCTTACGTTATTCCCATCCAATAAACTAAATCTGGTAACAGAAATGACGTTAAGTCTCAAATACTTATAATTAGGACTAATTTCTTTGTTTTACTGCTATATATTGATTGGTTACAATTTACAGCCTAGACTAAATGATTCTGGTCTTTTGCATCCATTCCATATTTGTTAAATTAAAGTCTATTATAGGAATATATTCTAATAACAGAACTGAAAAAAATTAAAGGTTCTACTAATTAAATCAGGAATTATTTCTTCGTCCCAAGTTAGTTGTCATGTTTCACTATTCTAATGTTTTCCAAAGTTGACGATGTATTTTGCTAATTAATTTCACAATGAAGAACCAACAAATCAACGTGCCTACACACGTACGTAACATATGCAGAACATATTACGAGTAATACTTATTACTGATACAATTGATACAATGAGATACTTATGATACAATTATTTGTAACATAAATTCATATATATTCCTAGTTCTAAACACTGTTATTATCATCGATAGACAATATAATAACTTCATTTATTTTCTTAAATTAAAGCTTCTTGGTAACGGATGAGGGTTTGACATGATCCCTACCGATTTATTAATAAAGATAGAACTAGATTAATTATGGGAAGGTTATTAAATACTCCCTAATCAAGCAAATGACCAAGGTTTGTTGAATTTGATAGGACGTCCGTTTAATGGCTGAATTGGTCTGGCATTGTATTCGAATCCCTGAGATAATTTAAATAGTATATGATGTCAAATTCGAAATGAAAAATAGATACAACATATAAACAAGCAGATTTTCGAAACATAATTAAAATTTTATGTTAGAAACTCACATCATGAACAACATCTCGGAGCAGTTGAATTTGTTTTCTGGTTACAGTTTTAACCTGAAAATATATATATATATTTTAAAATAACATAATTAAAATTACTTTGAAAAATGTAGGGAAAATGCATAAGTACCCCCCAGCCTATGCCCAAAATCCCTGAGACACACCTAACCTTTACTAAGGTCCTATTACCCC